TTATTTACAATGATTTTATTGACATACCATATACTGTCCACCGAAAAACATGACACAATGGAAAGCCCTCCACTATCTCGACTTTCCACATGTTTACTCCAAAGATAAATGTTGACAGGTATACAAAGGCAATGGCCTAAAAGAGAAAAATTTAAAATCTACAATAAACAAAGAATATGTTAAATAATATTATTATTAAAAACTGAATCCACGGATAATGCAATTCTAGAGCTCTGATTGGCTTAGCCATCATGATATATGAGCCATTATACCATGCTCTCCAAATGTGGTAATTGTAAACGAGCTTCCTGTCACTGACTGTGCGAAGATACTAGGTGTTACGATATCCAGTGACTTGAAATGGAACAATCACATTGTAGATTGCATTAGGAATGCAAATAAGCACCTGTATTTCATTGTTCTCTTGAAAGGGCTCGTTTTCCCCTTAATGACATTGTGAATTTCTATTGTACAACAATCAGACCTGTACTAGAATACTGCGCTCCGGTTTTCCATCACGCACTCCCGGTTTATCTTAATTAGGATATAGAAAGAATTCAGAAAAGAGCGCTTTCCATAATTTCACCTGTCATGTCATATCAGGAATGCCTTGACAGCCTAGGCCTGCCAGCGCTATAAGATAGACACAACAGACTATGTAGACAATTGTTTGATTCCATTGCTATCAATCCCGGACATAAGTTATACCACCTGCTGCCACCAAGAAAACAATCCAGCTATAATTTAAGGCGTCAAAAGTTATATAATTTGCCACATTCCCATAAGGAATGTTTCAGCCGCTCTTTTGTTTATGCTATGTCCCAGGGTTGCGCATAGAGCTCTTAAAGTTTCAAAGAAGTTGACTTTATTGTAAGATTTTTATACATATTTTTTAGCTTTACTACACAAGGTATTTATATTCATATGATTGTAATTAGTTTTATATTTTAACTAATGTCATTTGTAAAATACGCAATTCAGTTTTACGACTGCAAAGTATTTATACAATAAACGATTTATCTATCTCTATCTATCTATCTATCTATCTACATGTCTGCTCAAAATTAAAAACAAGCTGAAAATAGGTTGTTTTTACAAATAAAGTCGGGAAGAATTTTCAATATTTTGTGGGCGTAAAACAGGGACTTCTTACATACATCTGTTATGTTACAGGTCAAATTTGATTTCGGGTTAAATTGTTTTAAACTACAGTTGATTCTCAATTTCCTTTGTCTCTTGGGGCTAGGAGACAAAGGAATTGAGAATCACCTTAGGTTAAATCAAATTTAACCTGAAATCAAATTTGACCTGTAAAATATACATGTCATGTAGAAGTTCATTGGATCGAGTTTCTACTGTAGATGAATGATACAGTATCAGTCTAACCTAACAACTACACTTGTCAACATCAATCTTACCAGTTGACTTGCATCATATGTCCATGGCAGAAATAAAGTACCAGTGTTGTACTTTTCCCAGTGTGCTGTGTAGAATCCCAACAAACAAGCTAACAAAATGCAATGAAGTTCCCACAGAGTAACGCTGTGAGGACCATGACCAAACAGCGAAAACAAACTGATGGCCATAAGAAATGCTGCAGAGCTGTCCAGTCCATGGTCAAATAATTCACCCAGAGGAGAACTGAAAATATAGTATGTAATTAAAAGAATGTCATAAACAAGTACTTGTGTATCATGTCACAAGAGTTTATATTTTCCTTTTTAAAAAAATAAAAATGAAAAACACTACAACAAAGTAAACTCAACAAAGGTCAGATGTTCTAGTCACCAAACTAAATGACAGAAGACTGATAACCATACTTTAGCCATTATACTAGGTCAGCAGCATGCTTCTGACTAGGTTTCTAAATTATTAATCTTGTATTACATTTTGATTTCTGTATATTTTCTAACAGATGTCCACTCTCAAATAAACACCTCTTGTCTAATAAACATCCCCATTATGCCTTCAAGTTTGCATTAGACACCCCACTCTAGCAAACGTTTCCTGTCTAATAGATGCCCTTATGACAGGTAGTATAGGTAATAGAATGATTTGTAGTGATATTTGGCATAAATACCATTTTCACATGTAGGTATTTCAAATTAAGCTGAAATACCACTGCTCTAAGCCAATCAAATTGCAGAAACTTCTCATGTAGTAGTATAAACTCCAGAATACTAGGAATTAGCAAGAAGGAGCAAAACCATTCAATTTATTCAGTTTCTTGTTTGAATAACAAGAGCTCATGCATTGCACAAGGTAAGGATTCTGACATCGAAAGGTGAAGTTAAAAAAACACATTGATCTAAACAGCTTAGACATATAAATGGATGGACTACAGTATGCTATTAATTTGTATAATCTGGTAATATATTCGTTGAATGCATACAAGTTTTTTTGGAGTTTGTTAGAGTTATGAGAATAAAGGCCTCTCTGTTTTATTATTAAAAGCCTCTGCTTGGGCTTCTGAAAATAAATAGACGCTCTGGGCATCTACATGTGTTAGATCACTTACAGTATTCGCACTGTTAGTAGGAACAGGAAAAAATTTTTCAGTATATATTATGAGATAAATTCAATACCTGCTGTTTGTTCTGCGTGCCTGTTTACCATCACAGCCATCAAGTGTGTGAGCAATAAACTGTGCCACTGCAAATATAAGCCACCATACAGATGGCAAATGCTTTTCTGGATCAGATTGAGATGAGGCAGTAAAATGAGGGTCATAATAGCTTGTCACTGCGAAGATCATAAACAGGAGGCACCAGCCACTAAATGTGAGGACATTGGGTGCAAGCCATCGAGGAAAAAACTGCAAATTTAGGATACAGAAAATATTGTTAGTTTTACATGCAATGCACAGCAAGCCTGTGGATACATATGCTCCTTATTGTTAATGATAATGATAATAAAATATAATAATTATTATGAATTTTTTTATTGTTTTTCTTTGGGGGGGGGGGGGGGGGGGGTGTTTGTGTTTTATTCTTAAATAGCGGAGAGAGAGTTCCGAGTAGCGCTATAAAGTAAAATTAAGAAAGAAAAACATTCATAATTAATTTTTATTCATTTTTACAATTTTTAAATGCCAGAAGAGAATTCTTTTACGATTTTT